AAAGAAGAGGAAGAAGAAAAAGGTAAAGATAAAAAATTATGAACAACAAAGTGACAACAAATACATATCTATCAACAAGTGAATCTAAAAATCAAGTCAATAAAAAATCTGATGAACAGATTAAACTGGTGATTATAATAGAATCAGGGGCATGGAAAGGGAGTAGACTGACAATTCTCAGGAGGAAGGGGGTGTGGGGGTTAAAAAGAGGAACATCTGTAATAATCTGAACAATAAAGATTAATAAAATAAAATAAAATCTTCTGTTTTTTCTATGGCCTTACTTTATCTCATATTTTTAATGGAATCCATTCAGCTGGGGCTTTCCTTCACCAGAGAAATTTTAGAAAGTACATTTCACTGTCATTGTCATTTTTAGGCAGTGACAGAGGTTCCTGCGATGTGACTGGAAGGGATAAGGATTTGGAAATAGAAACTGGGAGGTGATGAACCAACAGTAGGTAGTGACAGAAATTTAGTAGTAGAAAACAGACAAAACCCTGACAGGCAAGAGTAATAATTAGGCAAGTGGCTGGTATCACGGGGTTTCAGCATAAATTAACAGATGTCCCCAGAAGATGGGAAACTGCAAATGTCACACATCTGAGAGGGTCAGCCTCTGAATTCCATGAATAGGCTTAGACTTATCAAAGCAAGGACTCTGTAAAGAGAAGTAGCCCAGGTACTGAGTTGGGGTGCAAAGTGGGGAACTAATCATTGGAACAAAGCACTATACCAATTATCTATAATAATAAAAGCATAATATGCTAATTAGACCGGACAGCCCAACGACCTTCCAGACATCCTTCCAGACGACCTTCTGGACGAAGCTGGGGCTGTGAGGGCTGAGGCAAGCCGCCCTGGCTGCGAGGGTTGAGCCCCTTGCAACAATTCATGCATCGGGCCTCTAGTAAATGATAAGGTGTCAAAATAGCAATAACTACCCCTACTGTTCCATCTTGAGAATTGAACTGGATCTTTTAAAATCTTCCCTCAGGTCAAACTTGGTCCCAAAGGATGGACTGGGGAAGAGGTATACTAGGTGGAACAGATAAAAGAAAATGATCAGAGCAGTAACATGCAGGACAAAATGCATGGCACAGGGACGCTAAATGTAGGATAATGTGCAAGGAGCCTACTGTAGTAGAAAAAACAAACATAAAACACCTAACTTATAAATAAGCATATTAAGTAAATCAAAGCCCTATAAATTTACAAATACATTGAAATCGTGTGTGTGTTCATGCGCACAGATAAGAGAGAGAGAGAGAGGGAGAAATGAACACTATGCATGCACTGTGGGGTGATACACCACTAAAATGGCTCTCCCAATGGCGCTAATGAGCTTATACTCAATAATCAATTAGTACTTAACCTACCTAAAATTGTGCTCAAGTGGCATTGCAGATCATCCTATCTAATAAAAGACAAAGATGCAAATTGACCGTACCTTCGCTATGCCCACCATTGGCTAATCAGAGCGATATGCAAATTAACCACCAACAAATATGGTGGCTAATTTGCATATGTAGGCGCCAAGCGATGGAGCAAGGCCCGCCGGCCCCGGGCAGGAGCAGCAAGCGAAGCCCGCCGCGCCGGCCCCGCCCGGCGAAGAGC